CCTCCGGCCTCGGCTGCCCAACCTCAATAGTTCCGTCGAGCATCATTTAGCTGTTTTAGCTCAAAATCCCTATTAAATCCCACAATTAAATGGCAAAAATACAGGAGAGAAAATGCCGGTAGCACACTTTCACTAAAGATGGGAGGAGAGGGTGAAAGACAAAGTCAGCGGCTCCAATCTCCAAATCCTTCCAAATTGATTTCTTTCATTCCAAAAGATTAAAAAAAAAAACGCACGCATTGAACTTGAGACCGATTGATTTTCTTTTACAATGAAATATGGTAGAACTCTGGATTGAAGGAAAAAATAAAGGAAAGAAACGACCACGGGAACAAAATCACTAGAGAATCGTTGCAGGTTGGAGGATTTTTGAAAAGAAAGAGGATCGATAAAACCATCTATCAGCACTTTGTTCTTGGATTTGGTAATGCCTTCTTCTGACCTCTCCCAGTTCTAAGAACTCCCGCCACCACTGCTACTCGAAAGCTCTTCCTCCTCCGCCTTTGCTCCGCCTCCAGCCATCCTAATCCTAGCTTGCCCCGGAAAATTTGAGAAAGCCAATGGGTTTTACGGTGGAAGAAGTGCCAAACTTCATGGTGGAAGATGCGGTGTATTTCGCAAGGCATTTGCGTCTTTTTCTTACCCTCAAATAGCGGAAAGCAGCGAAAGCAGGAGCCTACTTCAGGACGGAAAAAGTAGCCGCGGGACGCAAAAATTTTGAGAACGGAGCACGACCTCGTCTCCCCAAACCCCAACTCGGTTGCTTTTCCTACCTACAGCAGCAAAAACGGCGCCCCAAACGCACCCTTAATCTCTTCCGGCGTCTAGGGTTTGCTTTTCCTTTTCTCTATTTCGTCCTGCGAAGCGACGATGTTCCCTTCGCGCGCTTTATTAGGCTCCTTCGACGATGTTCTGCTTATTCGGATCCTTTGACGAAGTTCTAGAAATCATGACATTTCGATGACGTTTTTCCTGCTGCATCGTAAGTAACGACGGAAGCTCTCTCGCTGTGAAGGTAACTATCTTCTCCCTTTCGCGCGCTTCTTCGGCTAAATGTCGTAAGTCAACTGAAATATAGGATTGAGTAAATTCAAGATTTACGCCAAAAAGAGGGAAACGGAAAATTTATTCCGCCTTGAGATTTACCCGGTGCTTAAATCCCGTTTGGCAGGATTTGACATAAATCCTGCTCAAATCCTGCATAATTGCTGGAGCCTTACCAGAATCCAAATAGAACAAAAATCAAGCAACGTGGATGTGATCAATCGATGATTGCAAAGGAACAAGGGAAAAGAGATAAAAGATTGCAGATTGAATAAAGACAAAAAGATCGAGAGACATAAAACTAGCAAAGAAGAAAACTATCGAAGATCGGGGAGAAAAATTACTGTATCTGAAGAAGATGCTGCCTTCCTCCAACGGAGAATGCTAATCCGAGCAAATCCTCCTTCGCCGTCCCCGTCTGCGCATGAAGCTCTACAGGAGTTTGCAGTGTGCTATGGAGAAAAAATATCCTATGAAAATTTGGCGAACATAGGAATTCTTATTTTAGCGAACATAGGAATACTTATAAACGGCAAAATAATACAGTCATAACATAAATCGCGCCATCTCCATTTCTCGGAACAGATAAAATTTAGAAATATGACTTAAAATGTCCCCGTAATAATATTATTTGGATAAATTTATGATGGGAAAATTTTAAGGAGTATGATAAAAATTATAATTATGTGAATGAGTATAATTTAAAAAAAAAATTAAAAGAAACAAATTAGTCAAACTATTTGATGTTTTTTTATAAAATTAGTCAAATTTTTTGGCTAATCCTATCATTTTCACTAAGCATCATTAGCAATATAATTAGCTGATTAATGATGCATTAAAAATTTTAAAATTATGTTAATGAGCGATAAGATCTCATATTAACCAATCACTTGCATTAATAAAATTTAAAACATGAAAATATCCAAAACAGTGAGAATTTTAAATATTATTTATATAAATATTTATTTTATTTATCTTCAAAATGTTTATATAAAGATTATAAAATGAAAAAAAAATTTAATAATTTAATATAATAGAATATTTAAAAACCTTAATTATATATA